GACCTGTCTTTACGTGACTATTTTTGTTTACGATGCTCAATCATTACATTAGTGTCTGTCTTTAGCGAGTCTACATCATAATTTCTGAATTTATATGCAGTCTAACTAGCCAACAATCCAATAAAGTCCATATTTACATGTTTAATATCAGTAAATAATATATTTGACAACAGATAAAATCGATTTTAAATAAGGTTAAACATGAACATTGAAGCTATTTAATGTTAGCATACAGGTTTTACAATTAAAATAATTAATTTTGGTTAAATATGTGTAATATTTACCTGTGAACTGTAACCCTTTTATCTTTTGTAAACGTGTTGTAACAATCTATGTAGTTTATAGCAAAGTATTTGAACCATTTGCACATTTATAAAGCGTTTGTTTGCACCGTTCTGCTCATTGATTTCAATGGTTAGCGTTAGCATTAGCTGAATGCATAAAAGGCCTCCTTGCGAAGCCACGCCCAGGTCACATGACGCCCAATCCAGTGATATACTGTATATCAATGCTCCAGACAAGAAGAAAAAAGGAGCAGAAATGTAAAGACAGACGCAGTGCAGAGACACTGGAGTCTGCATCAACAAACAGAACCAGGTAAACTCTCAGACCTCACAGCTGGAAGACCTGGACTTGTTTACCTGCTGCAATATTTAGACATGCTGCCTTGACCAGAAGCTTCACTGAACTACAGCTCAGCTCAGTTATGGCAGAAATGTTCACAGAGACTGAAAGAGTCAGATGTCAGGAGGACTGGGAGAGAGAAGTACGACTTCTGAGACATTTCTCATCTTATAGCAGGCTGTGGTTTAAAACAAACATAAAAAGGGCAGGTTTTTAAAAAATGTGTTAATCCCAGTTTTTAATTGGAATTTACAATTTAAAAAGAGGATCCTGAAGTTTCAGAAAAACTTCARCTCCACACCTTACTCACAGAGTCACATTTACATTCTGCATGTCCCTCAGCTTCCTGTCAGTTAGTGTTCAGGAGATCTATGCAAGATTTTGTATTTGAAGAAGCTTTCTTTGATATTCTTAACCTTGGAAATGAGAGCAAAACCCAAACTGAGACAGATGAGATGACTCAACTCACTCAAAGTAGCAGAAGGTGGGGTATCCTTTGACACTGAACTCCTGCTTGAGGCCGTCAAACTCAGCCGGGTGCACATTCATCCCCGCCAAGATCTGAAGGAAAGAAAGAAGGAAAAAAAAGGGGAAATATATCATAGGTTGTGAGAGAGGTGACGACAAGTGACAGAAGAAAGAAATGTCTTCAATAATCAAAACAGGTAGGTCATCATCAGAGGGCCTCAAAATCAAAAGTACAAAAACCTGTTGTGTAAAACAAACTTTTCATTAATATTTTCTATTCAAATACAATCAGCAGAGTCTCTGTAGTTTCATATAAACTGGATCATCTGTGATTTAATCCAAGACTTTCTAAGTCTGTTATTGGGCCTCAAGCTGCTCCTGATGCTTTCATCTGTGTGTGTGTGTGTGTGTGTGTGTGTGTGTGTGTGTGTGTGTGTGTGTGT